TAGACAGAGAGAGACAAAGAGAGAGTGAGAGAAAGAGAGGGAGAGACAGAAAGTGAAAGAGAGAGAGGGAGAGAGAGGGAGAGAGAGACAGAGAGAGACAGAGAGAAAGGGAGAGAGATATAGAGAGAGAGAGTGAGAGAGAGATAGAGAGAGGGAGACGGAGAGAGGCAGAGAGGGACAGACAGACAGACAGACAGACAGACAGACAGACAGACAGAGAGAGAGAGTGAGAGAGAGACAGAGAGAGAGAGAGAGAGAGAGATCACGTTCATTGCTCCAGAGGACCACGGCGGGAGGAGCGGGAGGGAAATCCAGCTTCCTGTTTCCGGTCACGCCTGATGGGCAATGGTGGCAGAGACTCATCACATCAACAACACTGAACCCTGGTCCATCCCCCCTTCCCCACAACCCCACCCCACGGGCCCCAAGAACTGCATTGAACCCTGGCCCGATTGTCATCACCCCCTCCCCTCTTTTCGCCCCTTAACAGTCCACATCAACATGTAGTCGTACACACACACACACACACACACACACACACACACACAGATCTACACACACACACACACACACACACACACACACACACACACACACACACAGATCTACATACACACATACACACACAATAACTCAACACACACAATCTCAAGACTGCTGGCCCCTTGTTCCCATGAACTAACCCCACATACACTGCCCCCCCCCCTTTCCACCCTCCCCGAAAAACGACGTCCACTCCATATCCCCACAGCCCTACTCACCCCATGGCCCGACACGTTCGTGTCTAAACCCCACACCCCTGCATAGAGGTGAATACAATTCGAATATACAACCCGGTTATTCGGTTGCTTTTTTCGATGGGATCATTGATTCATTCATGAGTGCATGGCTTGGTAGAGTTCGTTATAAAGTACGAAGTACAAAAATTATTATTAAGATGTTCTGAGACTTATCACCTCCTTCTAATTCCGAATCGTGTTACCAAATGGGGCAAACTCTCGTTTTGTCTTTTAGCTTTGTGAAAATAATGTCTGCCTTGAAAAAAACAACTTTTATACTTAGCGAAGCTCATCGACACCAAAGCATGTGTGTGAATGACGAAACACTCCTATGTATATATTATAATGGTTCTCAACATGTCAATCTTCCCCCCCCTTTCGCTTTTCAGGCATCATACTTTCGAGGTAATTTCCATAACTTTACACCACTCGATCCATTTTAACTGAACTTGAAAGTGTGCAAAATCCGGTTAATCGGGAAATGAGTGTCTGGCCAGCTCTATCCTGCACAAGTGAGAACGTGAGCGGCGAAAGGATGCGCCAAGACCCCCACGCTCCCCTCTCTGTGTGCCTCGCACGAGGGTCCGGACACACTCACACAATACCCCGACGTACATCTGCCCCAAGTCATCCACGCTACTCCCGTATTTCTATGCGTCGTGATGTGGGATATTTTTCTTTCTCTTCTTCTTTATTGGAAACTCTGAATTCGATTAGACGCGTGTTCAAATAGGATAGTGATCGATTGTTTTTCGGTAGGGCCTCGTGAATAGGGCTAATGCCAACTAGTTTGATGAGAAGAGAGTGTTGGTGGTTGTGCTTTGTTTTCCTGTTGGCTCATCATATCAGTGCGATTATTAATCTGAACAAATATTTCGGTGTGCCAGGAACTTAGTTAGTGGATTTGGCATCTGACTTTGTTGTTGTTTTGGGAACAGAGTTATTGTTGTATATTATTCAGGTGAGCACAAACAGTCTGTATTCAGGGGATGACGTTGTCGCGAAAAAAACCCTGTAACGTGGTGTTGAGTGATTTGGCTTTTCAGCTTCCTCCTTTATTGTTCTCTCTCCTATTATGTGCTAGTAAATAGAACTTATTTATTGCATCCCTTTACACGTCGAATAACACACATGGAAGTCTGACTCGAATATAAACGTCCACTGATGTGTACATGCGTGATATTTAGACTACTTCTTTGTAAAGAGTCTTCCTTCATTCCTCCTTCCTTCCCTCTCTCCTTCCGTCTTCTCTACTCTTCCAACTGGACACATGTCATCTTCAAAATTACCCTGGAAAGGCGTTTATAATTCAAGATAAAGAATGTTCATGTTTTCTTATGCTAAACAAAGAAATAATTATAATATACAGATGGCAAAATGTATTGCCTTTGAACGAAGTGTTTAATGTTAAACTGGAGTAAGACAGACGAGGGAAGGACGCTATCAATATTGGTTTCAGATTCTGTTGACCTTTGGCGGTCATACGTAGGACGCTGCTCTGTCTGGGTAAAGAACAATTTTCAAGTCAGAATCAGAATTTAAGAGAGGCATGAGCCCTACAAAGATCATTAGATCACCAACAGGGCTTTTTGTGGTCAGCAAAACGTCTCCTTAGGAAAGCTCATTTTGAGATCCTTTTCGAGGTGATGTGTCTTGGCATTATAATTTTGCATTGTTTCTTTTTCCTAGTGCGAGATCGTTTTGACTAACTGTCAGCAGTAGTCATTTCTCTTTTCTGCGTACGTCAGCATGATTATTATCATATCGATCATGAGACTATAAAGATACAGCTCTGGCTTTTAGTATACTGTTTGAAAAAAACTGCAATGCAATTCGTGTCTGTGTGAGTGGGGG